ACGAGCATCTCAGCTGACGCGAACAAGCCGCTGCGTTGGCTGCAAAGCGTGGCTGGTGTCCCTAAGCCTTCCCTCGCTCCCTCCCCACTTTCCCCTCTCGCCTCCTGACATCGATCAGTTCCAGGGTTCCTCGGCCTCGGGACACGCAGGCTAAGCCATAATGGAAAGAGCGCCTCTAGCAACGTACTGAGTGCTTTCCCTTCTCTGTATGAGCCGCAGCCTATCCTACGTATCGACTTGGGGCAAGGGTCGGGGGATACGGTCGCATCGCCAGGGTGTGGGTCGCACGCAGCTCTCTCAGGACCAAACCAGGGACCAGCTTCCCTTTCAAGGGACCGAACCTCTTTCCGAGGCTGACCCGTTTTTCTCCGCAGGCGAAAGAGCTGAACTGAAAGTACATAGTTACACCACCTCAAGTGCCCTCCAGTCGTTTCGGACTATATTGTCCATGCTGGGTGGAGCTGATGGGAATTGTAGTCCAAAACACCTCGATGTCCCCCACTTGGTATATTCAGGGAACGAGAGCCTAGAGACCATCACCCTGATGCTAATAGCAGTTTGAGAACAAAGACCTCTGCAGGGTCAAAGTTCCTCATCCCTGGCCTAATAATTCTCTTTGAACAACTTCCCTCTTCCAGGAGAATATTCCATTTTGCAGGGGAAGGATGCACTGAACACATTTCTAAGGCTTGTTAAAAATGATAGGCAGCTAAAATCTGGATACCCGGAGAATATAAAGTGTAGTGGAGTTCTAGGAGCAATTGACACCACAGCTAAAATAGTGAAATCGTCACTGGATTCAGTTGCTTTGGGTTCTGCCTTTTGCAAAAAGAGGATCAGACAAATTCAGGGAGGACAAGGCTATCAATTACTCTCTCTTCGCAGCTCCCACCACTTCTAGTAACTGGTATTTAGCAGCAGATTGCTTCTACAATGGAGGTAGAACATAGACACCATAGTTAGTAGCAGAGGGGGAGAACAATGGTGCAAAACTTCAGCAAGGCAGATAAAAATATTATACAGTGAGCTAATTGTGAAACAACTGTGGAAATATCTTTGCCTGATGCCAGAATGATGTCAAAGTTGGTCCCAGGAGATCCTCACTTGGGTAGGCCATATCATTATCATGATTGAAAAGGTACTCTGTATTCATCACCTATGTTTGGTGGGAAGGTTCCAGCAGACAAGCTGTTCAGGGCTTTATAGGTAAACACTGACACTTTGAACTGTGCTAAGAACCCAAGGGGTAGATTAATACAGGGGAGCTGTGATCTGAGTGCAGCAATTGGTGGGTTTCTTCCACTCATTTATTTCCCATGGAAAATCTTCTCTTGGGAAGGGAACTTGGCAAACCAGTGGCAAACTTCTCTTCTAAGAGCGCCAACAACAACAACAACAACAACAACAATGGATGGGCCGGGGTTGTTTTGCTGCCTTCATGAAAGGACTTATTCTTTCTCCTTTGGAGCCATATGGGCACCAATAAGTGACAGTGCAAATCAAAGCAACCACTTACAATGTCCCTACAGGCTTGACTTCTGCTGAGTCAGATTTGATGGGGATTCTTGGGAATCCTACTATAGTTTTATTTTGATTCCCCCCCCAAGCGCGCGTGCGCACACACACACACACACACACACACAGTGGTATGTCCTCAGCATAGGAGATTAAATGGCCTGTGATCTGTCAGGCTTTACTGTGGCTTGGTGAGTAGATGGGGAGTTTGCTTATTTCTGCTTTTCTGTTAAAAAAGCATTGCAGACAAAACAGTGCTACTTTTTGTAGTAGCTACTACCTCTAGCTACTGTAGTAGAGTGCCTCTGATACCCATCCCACACAGTCAGTCTAAGCCGTTACCATGACCAATGGTATCAAAAGCCCCAGAGACATCCAGTAACAGTAACAATAACAGTAACAGTAGTAGTAATAGTAGTAGTAGTAGTAGTAATAATAGTAGTAATAATAATAACCCTCCCAGCTTTCTTCATGGCATTCAATGACCACCAGACTTTCAAATTTAATTTTGCAACTTCATTATGTTACATTGCTGGCTACTCATGCAGCAACTGGAAGAGAATTATTTAGTTATTTTGCATTGCCCACATTTTCCTGCAACAGTTCCCCCCTGAACTGTACCTAATAACTGAGCTTCATCCCAGCCTGAGGTTGTTTCAGAGTGTCCCCCCCTCCCAGGCCCCCCTCCCCACCTTTAGGAAAATGAAAGGGTATGCACTGCAGGGTGTACATGGGCATTACACACCTGTAATTAATCTAACGAACTGCTGGTAATGTGAGCCCCCCCCCCCCAAAAAACCTTCATAGGTCTACAGCTGAAACAACAATTATTTGGCAGTAAAATAAACGTCACCCCTTGTGGTGCCCCCAGACGTACAAGTGAATTACAACAAAGTACATTCATGGTGTGCGTGTATGGTGCTAGGACATTCCTGCTACATCATTTAAATAAAGGGCCCGGTGATAATTGATGCGCCAGGGGACTGTCAGAGGGGAGCATGGCACTCAAGAGATGAAAAGGCTCGGCTGCCTCCACGCCTCCTCCCCCCACCTCGAAAAACCATGCGATTCCCATTAACCCTTCCGGGCAGCTGAAAGTCCTCTTCTGTGATCGGGAAAAATAAATTAAACTGAGTTCCATTGCTCTTTGCTGTTTAGTGATTTGTTATGAGTTGTGCTGTCGTTTTTTAAAAAGCGATTGTGTTATTTTATAACTTTTTAGGTCTTCTTTTTCTCTTATATTTGATTTTGTTGCAAACCGCCGTGCGGCTCGTGCAAAGGGCGGCATGCAAATGAAATACATACATTTTGATTGAGTCTGCCGGAGTTTGGCTTCCCGTTCCAAAAGAGCGGAGCTCAGGCTTTTTCTGGCCGGTTTCCATCTAGAATTCCAAATATTCAGAGGCGCTCAGATTGCGGGGGGGGGGGGAGCATTGGGTGTGAGCTGGGGAAATACTGCTCTGTTGCTATTTCCAGTCTAATCGTAAAATCACTCGATTTCACACATTTTAACGACCTCCTTACAGAGCTGGCAGATGGGGATCTACTGGTAGATAGCAGAGTGCTTTGCAGCAGAGCAGCAAAGATCTTGGCTTCCCGCTGCTTAACAACAGCAGCAACAGAAAGCTTCCAATTAGGCTGCAAAGGCGAAGGGAGTTTAAACTTAGGGGGGGAAACCTGGAGTGGATTTTTGTGTGGGAGAGCAGTGAGCTGAGTTCTGGAACCGAAAACAAATTCCTGGACTGTGCATGTGCTCGGAGGCAACTTGCTCCTAATTCTAAGAGTATTTTTTCCACCTCTCCACTATTTTGCATCTGGCTTAGGCTGCTGGATTTTGGGGATCTAATAAAAAGAAACGAATAAAAGAAAAGCAGATGCCAGAAGTCTGTGCTGGAATTATGCCACTTCACTTCCGACAACAGTTGGCAAATCCATTTAATGTGATCCTGTGAATTGTGGGCATCCTACAATTTTGAGCATCACATGACAGGACAGATTCTGAAATAAATAAGTGCTCTCCCAAGCCCACACTCCCAGCATGTTTGCACTTCTGTGTCTCAGCAACACGTATGCTGGCTTGGTTATGTCCACAGAGTGGTAAATGACAGGACCCCAAGGACGTTCTCTATGGGGAGCTGGCTTCAGGCACCAGGCCTGTTGACAGAGCAACTCTGTGTTACAAAGGTAAAGGTAAAGGGACCCCTGACCATTAGGTCCAGTCGTGGCCGACTCTGGGGTTGCGGCGCTCATCTCGCTTTATTGGTCGAGGGAGCCGGCGTACAGCTTCCGGGTCATGTGGCCAGCATGACTATGCTGCTTCTGGCGAACCAGAGCAGCGCACGGAAACACCGTTTACCTTCTTGCCAGAGTGGTACCTATTTATCTACTTGCACTTTGACGTGCTTTCAAACTGCTAGGTTGGCAGGAGCAAGGACCGAGCAACGGGAGCTCACCCCGTCACGGGGATTCGAACCGCCGACCTTCTGATTGGCAAGTCCTAGGCTCTGTGGTTTAACCCACAGTGCCACCTGTGTCCCAAAGGTGTCCTCAAATGTGACATGAAGGCTGGCAACATCAATTCTGCAATGCTGGAACCCCTTGCAGATGACTGCAGTGCCTGAAGATAGTTAGATCCTGTATCCACAGCAGCGGCCAGAGGAGGAATGACTGCTGGGAGGAGTGCAGATATAAGAAACAGCATGGTGCATTTGCAGCAGCACAACCGGACACCTTCATCTGCCCCAGCTGCGACAAAACATGTCATTCCCATATCGGTTTCTACAGCCACAGCAGGCGCTGCAACCTTCCAACAGCTTGACCTCATCCCTAAAGGTGCACTCCTCCATTGTCTCTAGCGACAGATGGATGCCAACAACAACAACAAAATGATGAGGGATACAATCCTATGTTTGGGAGTAAACCCATTGAATTTGGTGAGACACATTTCAGAGTAAACATGGACTGTGCTGTTAAAAGAATGGGAGTTTAATAACACGGGAACAGGATACATTTAGCAGATTTTGGGGTTCAGAGCAGGGAACAAGATTCAGGAAGCCATATAGGAAATGAGATCATTTTCCCCCCTTTTTCATTCTCTTGGAACCTTCATTCACCATGCTACACGCACTGTGTTTTTGAAAGTTTCTATTTCTTTTAACTAAGAGAAAAATTTCTGCAGGTCTGGAGAGCTCCCCAAACATGTGGGAACATCGTCACATTTTTGGTTGGCCCCATTATGTTTCCAAACTGTTTGGCAAGGGACCACCTATGCCCCATATTAGAGGAAGAATGGTCATAAAGTTCTATGGAACCACTATCTCTGGAGACAGTATATCACACACCAGTTGTTGAGAAGCAGCAACAGGAGCAGGAGCCTTTCTGTCTTGCCTGTGGACTTCCCACAGTTTGTCATTTTGCGACATAGATCAGGTAAAAGGTAAATGACCCTTGGACGGTTGAGTCCAGTCCTTAGTTGATCCAGCAGGGCTTTACTTACATTCTTATATTAGGCAGGCAGACAGGGGTGGGGAACCAGTGGGGAGCCTCAGGCCTGCTTAGAGCTAGAAGGAAGACAGGAAAGGGCAGACTGAGCTCTGCTAAGGATTTTGGCTGCAGGAAAGAGCATTCAATACATTCTTTCTCTGCCCAGCACGCACACACAAAATTCTACATGTGCATGTCTAACAATTATTTAACCCTAAATCTTCTTTGTAAATAACTGTTTCAATGTTATCAAAAGAGAAGTTTGAACTATAGTAAATGGGTAATTACTACTGATAAAAGATGGAAGGCTGACAGTAGTTGGCTTCAAAGAACTTGTACCTCTCCAGTTACAAAGCCGATTAAAGACCATTGAGGCCACTGTGTGGGAATGTTTACAGTGGAATGTAATGCCATTTGAAATACCCAGTTTTAAGTAAATTAGTACAAAAAAATTGGCTCTGTTTTAAAATCCAGTTGCCCATAAACTTTGGCCCAAATCATCCATCAACAAACACACAAGTCATTAACTCTGCCTGGGAAAGTTTGTGTGCTGCTGTTGACAGACATGTTATTTTAGGTCCAATTCCCATGTTTTAAGCTCAGGATGTACCTCTAAACTTTTCTAGTGTGTGCCACATATCTAGTATAAGCTGCAGCATTTCACTTGACAGGTTCAGCATTAATGCTGGATTACAACCCTCATAGCTTCCGGCCAGAGTCAGTGATCAGGGATCAGGACCAGATCCAGACCTTTAGAGGCCCTAAGCATAGAAAAGGTTGTGGTGCCCCCCCCATGTAATTCAAAATAAAAACAATACTAAATAAAAAAAATGTAAAATAAAACTAAAACATAGATTTATTGCAACACCTGACAGGATCTTATTTTCTTTCATCACTTTGATCTGCATTAGTTGGATGCCCCTTAGTTTAGGTGAGTAAAAGTAATAGAAAGAACAGAAAAATGGGGGAAGAGTGTGTAATGAAGTCTAACAAAGGCCTGATTTTCCCCATGAAAAATGTTTTTTAAATAGTGAATGTCAAATTCTTAAAAGAAAAAGACTTCTCTTTTTTGTGACCCTGCTTTGCTGGTGCCCTAATGATGTGTTGAGATTGCCTATTAGGTAATCCAGCACTGTGAGGGTTGATGACAGTTGGAGTCTGACAACTGAAGGGTCACAGGCTAGTTAGTCATGCTCTAGACCAGCCTTTCTCAACCCCGGGTCCCATATATTGTTGGGTTACAAATCCCATCATCCCTAGCTAGCAGGACCAGTGGTCAGGGATGATGGGACTTGTAGTCCAACCACATCTAGGAACCCAGGGTTGGGAAAGGCTGCTCTAGACACACACGCGCGCGCACGCACACACACACACACATTACTCACCACTGTGGTGATGGAGGGAAACAATGCATGTAACTTGTAGATTTGGCCTTCAGCCTAGTATAAAGTTTTTGATATGAGTTTTCATTGAAATGAGGCTGTATTTTAATGTTTTAATGTTGTATTTTAATCTTGTTTTTAAGTTGTATTTCAATCAATTTGTTTTTATATCGGGTGTTAGCCGCCCTGAGCCCGGTCTTGGCTGGGAGGGTGGGGTATAAATAAAATCTATTATTATTATTATTATTCTAACATCAACATTCAGTAGCACAGTTTCAGAGAACGATACAGAAATACCCAGACCACTTCAAGCTGCACCCATCTTGTAATCAGAGAAAGATTTGGATCCCAAAGCAAGCAAGCCTGAAAGTATTCAGTTACTTGACCTTTGAAGGGAACTTGGAAATGCAGGCTACTGAACCATTTCAGACTTGCATGTTTTTGGATTCTCATTTTTTCTGATGAAGACCTGGATGCAACTTGAGACTGCTGGGGCTTTTCATATGATTTTCTCCATCACGTGTGGTTTGGCACTCAGTTACTGACTACTGATTTTCTGCTCTGTGTCTCAGTAGAGTGCAACCCTCCTGCTGGATTGCATTATGTGTCTAATATAGTGTAGTGTGGGGGCACAGATAAATGTATTAAGCGGCACTAGTACTGTGTAGGCAGCCACGAAAATATTTGACCTTTCCCTAAACATGAACATACAATACAAGCTTTACTGGAGCAAAGGAAAATGAATATGCACTGAAGTGGCTACAAACAGTTGCTATTGTGTCTATAAAGGAGAAATGGAAGGGAAGTTTTGGGAAGGGACCTTGACTCGGTGGCAAAGCATATTCTGCATGCAGAAAGTCTAGTTAAAAGGATGAGGGAACCTTTGATGGGAAATACCTCTGCCTCTGCCTTGGGCCCTGGATGGCTATGCCAATCAGAGTAGACCCGGGGTAGCCAAAATGGTGTCCTCTAGATGTTGTTGGACTCCTAACACCCATCAACTCCAGCCAGCATGGTCAATGGTTAGGGACGATGGGAGTCCATCAACACCTGAAGGGTGCCATGTTGGTTAGACAATCAGAGTAGGTGCCAAAGAGTTTGACCTGGTATGAGATAGCTCTTCAGGTTCCTATCAATAAGGGTTTGGTTTATTTTTCTATTCACATAAAATTGAGGTAGGGGTCAGTAACCAGCAGACCATGGACCAAATCAGCACCCCAAGTCATGCCTTCTGGCCCCTCCTCCATTTAACAGTCCCAGAGTGAAAAAGGAGGTGTGGATGAGTTAAATCTGCAACAGTAATACTTTGCAGCAGGGCAGTTTCACAGTGAAGCCCACCCCTCCCACTTTTTTTTGTCAAAGTAACCAATTGGCAAGACTAATTGCTGATCAAGGTGTTGGATATCACACAATACATGTCTGTAAATATTGGTAATATTTTCTAAGGTGCTCACATATTACTTTTGATTATACTTATTTTTGAGCCGCATTGTGTACAGAGTGTCACAAAACGGGAGCATTTTTTTTTTTTTTAAAGGGAGACCATGTTTTGAAAATCAAAATTTCAAGCTGCTGGATTGTTTCTTGAGAGATGTAGCAAAAAACGATAGTGATGGACGAGCTAGCTAAAAGCCAGAGTAATGTGGTGATTTTATAGCCGTATTCTTTAGGAGTTAATGTAGTTAGATGTTCATCTAAGAGATTATGAATTGGAGAGAGGGGATGTTTTCACAGGCCAAAAGTGGTTTCTGGAGAGCAGCATAAAAGCCATGTGGAATAAGCCATAAGAGCTCATAATTTCGCCATAAGTGCACAGTCAAAGATAGAGCAACATGTTTTATTCTGTTAAAAATGGACAGTGCATGTCAGCTGCAAGGAGCTGTTTTTAAGAGCTGTGCTAACATAATAATAGCATTTTAGAGGGAGAAAAGGTTACATGGTACATAAAGGCCCTCACAGCTGCCTAACAAGTAGTTTTCAGAATACTCACAATTCCCAGGTTCAAGTCATTAATGCAATTTTACATTCCACTTCAAGCGTGAGGGACTGTGCAGTTCACAAACTGTTCAAGTGTGTGTACATGTGCCGGAGTGTATTTATTCTCAGATTAATGCGCCTAACATGGTTGAAGAGCAGCTAGCCCCCCCCAAAAGAGATGGGAATGGAAACAAACACACACAAAGCAATGCCCCTTTTTTCTCCATACAGCAGTTTGGTTCAAGTATCCAAGTGTGTTTCAAAAGCACACCAATCTGAGCAACAAGGACATGTCACAGGATTGTGTCACTTCTAAGGTGTACACTCCTGCAGTAATAATCACTAATGCAGTGAAACGGATCACAGGTATGCCATCCTTGGGACTCCCCGAAAACTAACCAAACCTATTGTTGTCTGAAAATGGGTGTGTACAGTGCCGCTGATTTGAATGCTGAATGGAACACAGCAGTGGGCAGCCTGAGTTAGTTCTATCAGACCTGGGTGCCTGCCCAGAAACCCTAGAGTGAGAGACTAGGGTGATGTCAGCCAGCAGGTTCAAGGAACCCTATTTGTTGTGAGATTTGGGGGTTGATCTGTGAGTTTGTTTGGACCTTGGGTAAGAGCCATGGTAGATGGGTGGAGGCTGAGACATGCTGAGTGGTGAATTGTGTCAGAAGAAGGCATTTGTATCTGTGTTTATTTATTATTGGTTTGTATTATTGGTTTTATTGCGTGTTTTTGTAACATTTTTCTGTTTTTCTAGTTTGCTGTACACCACTTCTGTCTGTCTGTCTGTCTGTCTGTCTGTCTGTCTGTCTGTCGGTATAAAAATTGCTGAAATAGAAAATGGCATCTAATCTATATTTCTTGTTCTGTTCTCATGTCTACACGGGAAGGGCTAGTTATTTTAACCCCCTCTCAATGGGAACCCCCTCCCCCAAATTAAAATATCTTCCTTTTAGATAGAAATCAAACTCCCAATTAAATAGTCATGTGGTTTTGTTCCACCTGCTTAGGATAATCCAGATAACAAAGAGCAGATTTAGCCAACAAGAAATTAGAAATGCTAGAACCGTTTCCCAGCTATTAGTTTACACAGACTACAGCTGAGGAAACTAGGTGAAGCATCTTTACTTTCTCAATGAAGAATCAGAGGAGAGAAGACCAAATGCAGACATCATGTTTCAAACATTCAGCCAAAGAACTATAACCATATAATTGAGCGTGGGGAGCACATGACATTTTCCAGCTTGAGATCTGCATTCCCTTGTTGGTAACCTGCTGGAGGTCACCTGCCATGGTGGGTGGGGCCCCGAGGCAAAAGTGGATGGAGCAACAGGTGTAACTCTTCTTTTTGTAGGGTAGGTTGCATTTCAGTCAGAGGTTTCTACCCTGAAGAGGGTGCTGAGCAAGACTGGCTAGGGGTTGTGTCCCAGGGAGAGTTCAAAGGAGCAGACAGGAAGGCCAGGAAGCTTGCATTTGCCCCTTGGTCCTGAGGTTCCCCACCTCTGATAGAAACCTCATCTATACTCTTCAGTTGGTCTCCATTGGCTAGTCTGCTCCTAATTTGTACCTAGCAACTGAGCCTCCAAAAGTATATATCTGGAGAATGAAAAGGCAACTGACTTCATTGTGGGGGAACCTTACAGTATTGCTAAATTTATAGGACAAGGGGTATGAGAAAAAGACATAATTTGTCACCTAAATGTGTTTTCTGGGTGTTATTGTTACCCTCTGCTCTCTGGGTGATAGTTCAACATTTTTTGAAGCTAAGTTTTCCAGCACTCTTGAATAGGAAGTTGGTCAAGCTGTTTGCGCTCCTGAGCTCTTAACTTTTTGATGGATTTTGGAAAAGTATGTAATTCAGTCACTCTCTAATGAATCTCTCTTCAAACTCTCCCACTCAGCGTGCCCCAAGAGGAGAGCATCCCCATCTGGGGCATACCCTGTACCAGGTCAAGGGAAAACCCAGGAGAGGCTCAAAGGGTTATCAAGTAGCAACCGTGTGTCAATAGCGCCATTGTTCCTCTGTTCGATTCATCCCATCTGTCATTCAATGGAAACCCTACCTCCCATTCTTACATTATTAAAAGACATTCTCAAAAGATCCCTTTACAGCCCTCAGAATTATCTTTTCAATGCCCCCAAAGCGATCCCAGAGTGTTATCTTGAAAGCATCTGAGCTGCTTAGCCCGTCTTTAGATGCTTTGCAAAGAGTTACCTGTGTCTAGTCAATGGCCATGAAGGAAAATGGGGTGTTTAACGTGCTGTTCTGGCAGCCTGTTCGGAAGGAGACCAGGTGTATTCTGCTCTTGGCATAAATTTCACTTCCTTCTCCTCCTGGATTACAACAGCTGCTTCTCTGATGAGCTCCAGGTGGCAAATCTTGATAGGCCTGGTACCAACCTGTTAATATCCAAATGAAAGAATAAACCTCTTTACTGACAGCCCCCCTTCTTTTTCTTTTTAATTAAGCTTTAAACTGGGGCAAAAGGCCTTACAGAGCACCAGGCTCTGTGTTAATAATGCTGACTTTAATTATCGACAGAGGCATATCTACAACAATCTCTCGCACCCTTGGCAAGGAGCTATATCGGCCCCCTTGTCCCTTGTGTCCTTGTGGTGCTTACTTTTGAGTAGACATGCACAGGATTACACTTTAAATCACATCAGCTGCCCCTGCTTAATTTGCTGCTCAGCCCACAGAAAAGGGAACTTTAGGAGTGTTGGATTTGAAATGGTTTCATTTTTAAGGCTGTTCACTTAGGCAGCTATCATTCTTATATTGTTTGGCGTCTGAAATAAGAGGCAATAGGGTTGCTGTGTGTGACGCTGACTGGCTGTAGTGAAGAAAAATAATAATGATTCTGTATACCTGTTTAAAGGCATCTGTATATTTATTGTTCTCTCCTAGGCCTGAACTCTAGAGGATGTTGAGCTCAGAGATCTTTTTTCCTTAACAGTTTTGTGGGCTGCACTTAATGTTGGCTCTCTTGCATGCAGTTTAAAGGAGAGGTTAATGGCCGTGATTGTAGAGGAGCTCTCCTTCCCCATGGAGGTGAGAGACAACTTTGCCTTTTGTGATGTGTTCCATTGGCCAGTCTTTCAAAGGGTTAGGGTGTGTCACTGCAGCTGCTGCATCAAACAGATTAAGTTAATATGAACTTCAAAACTAGCCCTGTCCTCCTGTTCACAAAACACTTCAAACACAGCAAGGCATGTCATCTCCCAGATGATTGAGGCTAATCCACTTAATCTGCCCCCCTCCATCTGAATGCAAACTACTGGGACATACCCAATTACATCTCTTCAGTCAAAACAAACTCTTCATTCCAAATACTTCAGTCAGTTTTTAATAAGAGCTTTCCAGCTCTTTGCAAGTATCAGCCAAGCTTCCTAACCCACAAAAATAGCTCTGGGAACACTGCAGGAGATGGGGCGGCTACACTCATTTCTGGCAGAGTGCCTGGTCCATTTAAAAAATATTAGGCCACTTCCCTTCAGAGTTTCTACATGTACTTAAGAGCAGCAGTAATGAAACCAGGGTCATCTGTTGGTGAAATGATTATTTTGTCCTCAGTGTCCCACAGATGCACCTGAGGTTTGAACACTCCGCCTTGCCTTCATTATTTTAAACAGAGTTGCACAGATATGTAATTAAGGAGGGAAATATGTCCAGCCCTGTCTAGCAGCAAAACAGAAGCAGACGTGCAAATATCTCATTTTGTAATACGTCCAGGATTGTCTGGACTCAGTTTAGTGAAGAATTAGCTGCTTTGTACTGCAGCCTGAACAACTGACTAACAGCGCTCTGAAAGTTGATATTTCAAGTTCCCTCGGGTATTAGCCCAGCTGTAGGTTGACTGCATGGTCTTGATGTGAGCAATACTCCACCCGGCTTACTTCTGCTCTGTGTTAGGGCTGGCCTTACCATTAGGCAAAGTGAGGCAATTGCCTCAAGCACCTGGCATGTGGAGCAGCAGATTAGCACCCACAGCACCTGCTGCTTGCCTGCACTGGCTTGGCTGGCCCTGCCACTGCCTGGCAACACCTTCCCTCCCCTCCCCTCCCCTCCCCCCATTTCTTACTCTAGGAAGATCAAAGAGGGTCCTTCCTCGGAGACAGAAGAGTTCTAAGTTGGATAGCCATGAGACTGCCTGCATCATGCTGCCTGGCCTTTCCCAAAGCAAGAGAGGGACATGGTGGGAAGCTAAAGCAATGGCATAAAAAGTAATGGTAGTAACTTGAGGGAAGCTGCCACCATTGCCGTGGGGAGTATTAGCCATGAGGGCATCAGCAGTGGTGTGATCTCTTGCACTGACCCTGCTCTGTGTTTTCCAACCTTTTTCACTCCTGTTCCCAGATCCTGGTTCTTAGCCTTTACTCTGGTTCTCCCTAGTACCAGCTGCCATGTTTTGATTGTCCACCTCATTTCAACTTTCTCCTGACCTTGGCACTACCTTTGTATAAACTCAGGTTCTGCATGTGAGCTTCCTATAGGCATCTGGCTGGCCACTGTGAGAACAGATTGCTGGACTAAATGGGTCTTTGGCCTGATGTAGAAGAACTCTTCTGATACTCTTATGCCCACCTCTGATCTAAAGCATTTTGCAACCATGAGATAAGAGAATTCCTCTGTGCTGGTGATCCATGGTGGGTTTTTTTTGAGTAAATTTATCATAAATCAGTAGTGCCACCACATGCTACAGCCTATAGTAGACTGCATCTTGACTCCTTCAGAAGAAGAAGAATAGGATCGTTCTTAGCTGTGAAGGAACAACTTGTGATGGCAAAATAGTTGTTTCTATCAGCTGCAAGTCCTACTCAACACCCCCAAGAATTTTGACAGTGATCTCTATTGCAATGTCTATTGCTGTTATTTCGGTATCTTGATACTTTAATGTCTTTAAGCCATTTCTGCTACCACTAGATACTTGTTTTACATAAAAACATATCATCTTAAATTCTCCTTTTGATAATTGTTTTGCATCTTCTTCCCCTTCTGTTTATTCAACCCTGACACCTGGCTTTTTATTTGAGTTGATGATATGCCTCTCTCTTCCATGTCTGTTCAGAATCCGGAAATTTTTTTTTATATGAAAAAAATCCCAATTGATCCCTTAATGATCACATCAGAAACATCAATGAGGGAACCTTTCATAATATGTCTTCCTGATCCCACAATTGTCCCACCTAGCAAATCTCCCTTTGATTTCAAAGGAAGTACTGAGTCTAACAACTGCAGGATTATTAACAGTCGGCTTGTTTCCTCTGAGACTGAAGCTAGTGTTTTCCTTGAAACTAGTTACTGAAAGTGGTACTTCTAGAGAGGTTTGTCTGTGCTCCAACATCATTTAAAGTTAATTGGCTGGCATTGTAAATAAGAAAGCAGCCCTACAATAAGGGTCCAACGCCATGAGATAATATAAAGGTAAAGGGACCCCTGACCATTAGGTCCAGTCGCGGACGACTCTGGGGTTGCGGCGCTCATCTCACTTTATTGGCCAAGGGAGCTGGCATACAGCTTCCAGGTCATGTGGCCAGCATGACTAAGCCGCTTCTGGCGAACCAGAGCAGCACACGGAAACGCCGTTTACCTTCCCGCCAGAGCAGTACCTATTTATCTACTTGCACTTCGTGCTTTTGAACTGCTAGGTTGGCAGGAGCAGGGACCGAGCAATGGGAGCTCACCCCATCACGGGGATTCGAACCGCCGACCTTCTGATCGGCAAGCCCTAGGGTTTGTGGTTTAACCCACAGCACTGTGTCCCTTATGAGATAATATACTGTGTATCAATGAACCACTTACTGGAAGGAAAAGAGGTCTCTGCTGAATCAGCAGACAGTGGGTTTGTGAATATCATGTCAGTAGGCACTAGTGGTGGGATGGGCATGGCACCAGTTACAACCCATGCTATCCAAAGGGCTCTTTTGCCCCAACAGAGTTCTAAGGTGACCAATATTCTATAACACCTTGGTCAGTGTTACCTGCTGCTGAGTCAGATCTGTTCTGTACAATACAATTGGTCTAACCTACCGTAGGTCATTGATACACAACTGAAGGTTTCTGGCATTTATATTGCATTACACCCAGGGCCAACCCACCTATAAGGCAAGGTAAGGCAACTGCCTCAGATGGCCGTATTCACTGGGGTCCCAATGTAGATCTCTCCCCCCACCGCCGTTTTCTGATCTAGATCTTCACTCACCCCCTTCTTCCCTGGCACAGAGGTAGGAGTCTACTTTGTGGCTCTGCTCCAGTGCCAAAATGTATTGGGCCAGCCCTGATTGTACCTATGGTGGTGCATCTTCAACGCAGTTCAGATCAGCTCGTATGACACCACAGAACATTCACAAACATTCCAGTTGCTCAACAAGCAAGGTTTAAGTTCCTATGTGGGCAGGGAATGTTGTCCATTAGGCTGTGACTAAAGCCTTATGCTTTGTGGGGCAGCTTGAGAACAGAGAAAAGACTCCAGGAGGAAGGGGAGCTACAAGATAGGGAGCCCCAGAGACAAGGTGAATTAGACTAAGAGGAATTTGAAGGAAGCTTTTCTTGAGGAATGCAGCAGAGAAGACAACAAACTGTGACCTGGCAGCCCAAAGGAGCCATCACCCAGGAGCTAGGGTTGGAGTGGGCAGAATCAGCTTCACATATTAATTTGAAGTCACCAGATAATTCTATGACTCCAGGCTTGTTGTCCTTTGGCATGGTGCTAGGCCCTTGGACCATGTGCAACATGCAGAAAATGAAATACAAAACTTACCTTTGCAAGCCATTTCTGTTGTCAGATCAGACGCTTGTCTGGTCCCTGCTCTAGCAAAGCTATAGAGCTGCAAATTTCCAGATGGTTTCATTCTGATAGAGGATCCACAACCATAGTATGAATTCATGTGTCTCCCCCCTCTATAGTTACAGTGTATTGAGAGAAGCTACCATCATTTTTTGCCAACAAAGGTCCGTATAGTTAAAGCTATGGTTTTCCCAGTAGTGATGTATGGAAGTGAGAGCTGGACCATAAAGAAGGCTGATCGCCGAAGAATTGATGCTTTTGAATTATGGTGCTGGAGGAGACTCTTGAGAGTCCCATGGACTGCAAGAAGATCAAACGTATCCATTCTTAAGGAAATCAGCCCTGAGTGCTCGCTGGAAGGACAGATCCTGAAGCTGAGGCTCCAATACTTTGGCCACCTCATGAGAAGAGAAGACTCCCTGGAAAAGACCCTGATGTTGGGAAAGATGGAGGGCACAAGGATAAGGGGATGACAGAGGACGAGTTGGTTGGACAGTGTTCTCGAAGCTACAAACATGAGTCTGACCAAACTGCAGGAGGCAGTGGAAGACAGGAGTGCCTGGCGTGCTCTGGTCCATGGGGTCACAAAGAGTTGGACACGACTAAACGACTAAACAACAACACCATCATTCTTTAGGTTTTGTTTTTTTCTTCTGT